GCCAAACACCTAGCGTGCACAGAGCATGTGTGTTTTGTAAGAGTCAACGTAGCTGAGCCACGCTTTGTAAAGCCCCAGCGCTTTTGTTTCCGAAGTGCATGTGGCTGCAGCCCAGGCAGTGCTGTTAGGATGTGGAGCGGAGGTGTCATGGACATCCGACAGATGCCACCTTTGGAGTCACAGTTACGCACCCTTTGATTTACTCCACTGCATTGCTTAGTTAGCTTGGGTTAGTGCGATTTTTAATCCTAGCCATGCGTAACATAAAAGTTACTTTGATATTTGGTGTTTGGAACCGCCGTTCCACCCTCTGTGCTTTCTAAACCCTGGCTGTGTTTCAGACAACAAAGTACGCTTCTGTTCCTGTGTTTTCAGACTATTTCAGGGCTCATTATGAATCTATAGGGAAACAGCAAGAAACATTTTGCTTTTTTGCTGAGATTAAGTTGATGCCAGTTGGTAAGATTAATTATCATCGCGTATTTAAAGTACACAGGCAAAGAGCAACATCAGTAACCGTAGAGCTATATGAAAACAGTTGCGCATCATTATAGTCAATTATTAATCATATTTAATCCTACAAAGTAGTAAAGTGAAACTGTGTTATGTTCCTAGAAGCTGTATTTCTTTTGCCTAACTTGTACTGGTGTGGGACAATTTTCTGGAAATATTACTTAATTATTCAAAATGTGGCAAAGATCACCAAGCCTGTGACACGTCTTTTCAGCTCGTAGGGAGGAGAGGGATGGTTCTACAGAGCAGTGCAGCTAATAAAGGAGAAGGGACACAAGTTTGCAGAGAAGCGTCTCAAAGGTTAATGACAGTAATGGAGCAATTTAAAGCTTGACAACTAAAATAATGTAGAGGAATTAGAATACAGCGTGTGAACAGGATACAGCACAAAAGATTTATGTGCTTTTGCAAATAGTGGTGGTCATCTACCTTTGCTCCGGCGCTGGGATATTTGTAGAGATAACTCAGAGCCTGACTGCGGTGAAACAGCTTTGCAGGGGGCAGGTACCCCCTGCCTCTCGGTGCTGCCTGTATACCCAAACCACCCGGTCTGCTCTGTTCTGCTGCGGTTCCAGAGATAATTCAGATATTTCTGTGCGCTTGTAGCCCTGAGCTGTGTAGTTTTAGCCCTGTTTGCCAACTGCGAAATCAAGAGTTGAAAACAGCTTGCTTATGCTTTCTGCTGCTCCTAGAGAGAGGTCTTGTTTGTCCATCCAATGCATTGAGGTAGACCTACTCATATTTTGATAGCTTTACAGGTTCTGCTCCCTACATGTTGTTTTCTGGACAACAAATAATATATGGGTGTGGGAAGCAAGGGGAGGAGATATATGGAGGGACAGTTTGATGCACAAGTGCACCCAATTTATGCTAAAATCAATACTCTGATGTACTTAATTGGAAACTGAAGGCTTTATTTTTAATGTTGTAAGAAAACCTGCTGGAGCAGGCGGCGTCCTTTCAATTAAACGTAGGCCAGGCCATCTGCAAAAACATGCTTTCTCTCACCTCTGCATTGATTCTTGAACCACCTTAAGTAGCAGATTTGACGCAAATTACGGTTTCTCATATTCCAAAGACTGACAAACTGAAGCTGATCGTTGACCTGTGGTAAGTTGTACGTTA